TGTCTGTGCTTAGGTAAAATTATGAAGTGAGTTTGCTTCATCTCATCCTATCTTGGCCTTGGAGTTATTCTGTCTGAGGCTGGAATGCCGTGAGCTTGTTTAGACCCAAGAGGAGAAGAGCACGGCTTAGCTGCAAGGATCAGGCCAGCCTCTGAATGTCAGGGGCTGCTTGTCTTTTCACCCCTCATTCATAGCCCCTCACATCCCCATTCCTCCCCCCACCGAAGAAAAGAAAAGACAGAGTAGAGGAGGAAGGGCAGAGTAAGTGAAAAGAAGAGGGAAGAGAAAAAGGTGAGAGAGTAAACCTTATGGACTCTGCCTCCAGGCTCCACGCTGAACCATCTCTCAGTTGGATCTGGGGCAGAAAAGCAATGAAAGGGAAGTGATCCGTTGATTTTTCACTGCCCTGCAGCCCAGCACCTCGCGAATCAGCAGTGACCTTGCCACCATCCCCACTCAGAGCAAGAACTCTTTCCTGCCATCTGTTTGGCATCAGGCATCAGGCGATTGGTGGTGCTCAGCTTGGTGTGAAGGGGAACCTGCTCATGGAAGGGCAGGAGGGTGGCAGTGAGAGGGTCCAGGGAGCTGTACCAGCAGTGTGTGTGTGTGTGGATGTGTGTGTGTGTGTGTGTGAATGCTCACGTGCACACGTGCATTTTGCATGCTTACTCTTGGGCAGGCTATTCTAGAAGCAGGTTGTCACCCAGGATGTGTGTGCCAACGGCTTTCCCTGGATCTGGAGTGTTGGCCTCAGTCCACGTGTCTTGTGGCCTTCCTACCTCCACTCCAATCTATCTAGAAGAGGAGGGGCCTGTGTGCGAGCCCTTGAGCACTCCCATCTGGCTCAAGAAGCTGACATCTGAGGGGGCAGAGCCGTCCTCCCCTTTGGGGCTGGCTGTATGAAACACTGATGATTCGAGGGCCTTGGAAGCAGCAGGGCCCAGGTGGCATGAAACATGCCATGTCTTTTGTATCTTTCTTTACTTGGCTTAGGCTGTCCCCGTTCCTGGAATGCCTGTGCCTACCCTACCCTATTCAGCCTTCAAGACTGAATGCAAATGCCTGCCTCTTCCAGTGGAATCATCATTCCCTTCCCCCTGCTCCCAGAGAGAGGTCTTTGGCCCTGCATCTATGGAAAAACTTCTCACACTGTATTTATTGTTATAGGTTTCTTACTGGAGTGTCCCTCCTACTGGACAGGGAGCTGGTTTATTTATTGCTCCGTCCTCAGCCCCTGGAACTTAGCCAGGCTCATAGTAGACATTTGGGAAATGCTTGGGTAAGGAAAGGAGGGGAGGAGAGCGGACTCCATGGCCACGTCTAAATGCCTACCAATGTTACAGAGGTTATGGGGGTGCAGGAGAAGACACGGTCCTCCCTCTGGCAGCTAATACAGAGCCTGAGTGCTGTTAAAGACAGATGGCTCCTTCCTCACCTGGGCCAAGCTACAGCTGGTCATCCCTGCCCCTTTCTCTTTCCATCTTATGGGAGCTTTTATGCAGTCAGAAGTGGATGAGGCAGACCTGGGACAGCCCTACACTCAAGAGAATGTGGGCCACGGAAAAGAGCAGGTGTCCTGGAGTTAGTTCAGGAAGGCCTTGAAGGAAGGGGTAACTGGCAGGTGGCAACCCAGTGACTTTTGTTGCTCTCTGAAGCCACAGAGGGAAAAAAAACTAAAATCAAAAAATAAAAGCAAAGTTCCCAGGGAAATAAAATGGGGGAACTGGGAGTTCAGAAACATATGACTCATCGCCTGAGCTCCCTTGGGCAAAAGCAGAACTACTTCAGCACTCGTCTGGGGCGGTTGGGTCCCCGGGCAGATGCAGGCTGTCATCTCCTGGCTGTTGTCTGGGCCCCAGCAGGGGAGACCTGCACGTTGTGTTGTTCAGAGGAGCTGAGCCTCCTCTTTGCAAACTTAAATCATGGAGCTTTTCAATTATGCACTTCAGTGCCCAGAGCTTCAGCGGAGATGCTAAATGAAAGTGATGATCCGCACATGCATAATGATTCATAGCGTTCGTAATGGGCGAAACAAATAAAGAGAGTACGGAGAGGCAATTAAGGTAGGAGAGGCTTCTTTATTTTATTATTTCAAATTGAGGTGAGCATGGTGGTCAGCACCTCGGGACTTGACAACTTGTCAAATCCTACCTCAAGGCCACGACAAGAACCACAGAGAGGCCTTGTTTCAGAAGTTCAGGGATTCAGCCAAGGGATGCAGGGAGAGATTTGGGAATAACATTTGAAATGTTGTCCCGAATCCACCCTCATGGGGGCATCAAGGGGCACAAGGGGCAAGATCTTGGCAGTTGCCATTTCAAAGCATCTCAGCTTCGTGGAGTGGCCTGTTGGATGTCACATAGACTAGGGTTCAAATCCCAGCTCCTCCAGCTCCACCAGCTGCTAATTCTGTGATTTTAGCCAAGGTTCTTGAACCCCCCGCCAAGCCTATTTTCCATCACTGTAATGAAGAGATTGCGGTTGTTGTGTGAGGCGTGTGGGATTTGGATTACATTAAAGGAGATGGCATATGGAAAGGGAGCAAGCACGAGGCCTGGCATATTAGAGGTGCCCACAAACGGAAGTCCCCTTCCTCTACCCCCATCCCCCTTCATAGGACAGGAAAGTGCCTTCCTGGACACCCCCACCAACATACCCAGACATCATAGTTTCTCATCGAAATAAGTTACCCAGGTCATTACCTGTATCTAGAGTATGTCCTTGGCAAAGAGGAAGCACTTGGCTAGAGGTGGTGGTCGGTGTGTTCTAAGTATTGACTTTCTTGTGTGTGAAGCAGAGCTTCTTCTGATTTGTCCCAAAGAATACCTGTCTAACTGTAGGTAGGGCTTCAAGCTGGAGCAGGCTGGGATTGGACATGAGTCTCTCCTTCCCCATCATGATTTTATCGTCTCTAATCGCCTCTCTGTCCAGACTGCCAGGCTCCAAGTTTTCAGCTTCAAGTGATTCATCTCAAAGGCCACCCCCACAGGCCCCTCATCTGCTGTTTAATTGGAGAAAGGGGTGCTGGAGGCCCAGGCGCCTTAATTGCATTTGTTAATGGGAAGGTGCAATTATCCCTGCCACACTCCTGCACACTGCCAGGCAGACAGAGATGATTAAGGGGGTCTTTACAACTCCAGCTCTCTGCAGCTCTCTCCACTAATTGAGCAGTAGAGGAAGCAATGCTGAGCTCCCCCAATCCTTTTTTTAAATTAACTCCTGCTCCAAAGTACTCCTTGGAGCAATGGCCACATGGCTCAGAGAATTCAGTTCCAGCCCCATTTGTCACCTGCCACTTAGGCCCACAGCCTAGCCAGACCATGAGTGTGTCTATCTGTCACCCACAGGCTGGGCTGGTAAGGGGGTAGCTTCATGGCCCCTGGAGGGTGATCCCATCCAGCCTGATGATAGCACCTGTCATGGAGACTATAATTGAGAAGTGACTCAAAGGTTTCCACTGTCCTCTGAGCCTCGGCCACCTGAGTTCAGCCCCAGTCTGAACCACAAAATCGCCTACTAACTGGTCCCCTACTCTCTGCCTCCATGCATTCTCCAGAATGGTCAGCTTGAAATGCAAATGAGGTCAAGTGCTAATGTTAAAAACCATTCAACAGCTTCCCAGTGTATCCAGAATGCCATCCGAGCTCCATGCCATTGCCCGTAAGGGGCTGTCAACCCAGCACCTGGCACACTCTCCATCCTCAGCCTGTAGCCCTCTAGCTCTTGCTTACTAAGCTCCAATCACATTGGCCTTCACAGTCCAGCTCTCCAGACATACCAAGTTCTTTCCAGCCTCAGGGCCTTTGTACATACTCTTTCCTCTGCCTGGAAGAAGCGGCCCTCACACTTTTCACGATCAGTCCCTTCTCACCCTTCAGGTCTCCATTTAAATGTTGCTTGAGAGAGGGCTTCTGTCCTGTGACTGCCATATCTTAAGTAGGTTCCTACCTTCTTAGTTCTGTTTTTTAAAACCTTTGTGTGTTTCTTCCAAAATATATATCACAATTTTTCATTATTTTAGTTTTGTTCTTTTGCTACATGTTTTTGTTACTGTTTCTGTCTCACTAAAGTAGTGGAAGCTATAAATTCCATGTGGTCAGGGTCTGTCTTCTGGGTCATCGATGCATCCCGAATGCCTGTTAGAGGGATTTGTACCTCCTCATTCATTCAGCAAATATTTATTGAGCACTTGCTATGTGCCAGTCACTTCTTCTTTTAGGCATTTGGGAGACAGCAATGAGCTAACAGAAGAAAATCACTGCCCTCCTTGATCTTACACTCTAAAGAGGACAGGGGAGTCGGGTAATAAACAATTAATGTGGGCTAGACATAGTGGCTCACACCTGGAATATCAGCACTTTGGGAAGCTGGGGTAGGAGGATAGCTTGAGACCAGAAGTTCAAGATCAGCCTGGGCAACATAGTGAGACCTGTCTGTATTTAAAAAAAAGGGCAATTAACATAAGTAAATCATGTAGAATGTTAGAAGGTGACTAGTACTCTTTCTACCAATCAAGACTGGTGATCAATAATTCTCTGGGATCCTGGGAATTAAATCTTGGGCAAAGAGAAAAGAGAGAGTGAGTATTGGGATGTGAGAGGTCAGTTAGCAGGATGGATGACATCGAGATGTAAATGCCTTTTGTTCCCATGAAAATGAAGACAGTCTCTTCTAGCTTCCCTCTTCCCAGTACCCATCTTCTAATCACTGCTGCCTCCTGAGTGGGTCTAGTGGCATTAAAGAGAGTTCTAGAAACTCCCCCACCCTGCAGCCCACACAGCATGGTGAAGCCTAGTGAGCTTGGGATTTGGCCTGCCTAGCATTCATTCCCCTTTCTTCTGGAAACAGCATACTAATTTGGAGGGAGGGGCAATCCTATCTCAGTGAATATAGGCTTGATAGGACTGTCAATTACAGCAGTCTGTCCTCTTCCAGCCAACAAGTGGCACTGGGCCCAGCTTCCTCCCCAAACCTCAATCCTAGATGGAGAGACAAAAGAATTTAAAAATAGAAGTTTATTCATTCCGATGCAATGATTGTCCATTCCTGGCACCCAGATCCTGGATGCTGCCCTGCTTCCTGTCCTTTCCAGTCAAGTGTCTTCAGCTATTCCTTTCCTTCTGGTGTGGCACCACAGTCCTTGAACACATGTTTTGTTTGTGATATGAAAGTTGGTTTCTGTTGCTTGCAACCAGAGATCCCTGGGTGGTACTGACCGATACTAACTGCATCAGTACAAACTGATAAGGTGGCAGACCAGTTCTCTTGTTTATTACCTGGGTGAACTTGGGTTATATGTCTTTGGGCTTCAATTTCCAACAACAAGGATAATAATAGCATACTTCTTACAGTTATTGTGAGGATTAAGAGACTGGGTGTTTGTGTATAAAAATACCTGGCAGTGCTGTCCTTTCCCCTCCTCTCCTCTTCCTAACCTCTCTCATGAGTCCAAAAGGAGATGTGGGGAAGCAGGGACAGCAGGTCTCCACAGAGGTTGCTATGGGAACCCTAGCCACATGTGCAGCATCCCTGGGGGTGTCTGGGAGGGGCTAGGCAGCTGCTGGGTGGCTGGCTGAAATGACTCTGCCTTTTGGAGCAGAAAGGCTCAGCTGCTCCCGTCCCCCCAGGTCCTAACTCAGCTCGGTGCACAGAACTCCGAACGGAGCAGCTGTTCAGCTTCTGGATCCCGGAGGAGGAGCATTCTCCGTACAGCTCTGTACAGCTCTCTTCCAGTCTCAGGGGAGGCCAGGAGGGAGGAAGAGCAGTACTCAGCTCAGAGTTCTCAGACTAGAAACAAGTCTTAAGAAGCCATTCAGCTGATCAATCTGACAACATACCTTCATAAGCCGGCTCTGGGAGCCCAGCACTAAACTGGATAGGCAGTGAGGGAAATGGAGAATTAGGAAACGGGAGTGGAAAGGCTTTGGTGGAAATAAAAATAGAAGTTAAAGACAGCAACTCTGGTTGTCATCTACAGAGCGCCCACCATGCTAGCCGCTCAGCTCGGTTATTTGTGTACATCTCCACGGTCTGTACCATCGACTCTGCCGGGAGGTAGAGAGCCCTTTTACCCATGTGGAGGCTGAGATCACAGGAGTGACGTAGAGCACATGCCCAGGCTTTGTCTCCAGAACAATCACCTACTGTGATCCTGTCTTACAGATGGATTCATTTATTCACTCACACCCAGAAATTTGTTGAGTACCCAGTATGTTTTGGGCTCTGTATCTGATGTGCTTGAAGTTGAGTGGGGGAGGCTCATGAGCACGCAGGTGACAATGATACCACTGAGAGCCCAAGAAAGGGCTTTGACGACCAGGGGGGTTGTCAGGGTGAAGTGGGGAGGCGTTGGCTTAGCTGACCGCGGAGGATGGAGAAGTGGCAGTTCAGCATAGGGAAGGTGGAAGGAGGGAGGAGGGGATTTCACATAGTAAGTCCAGCAACAGCAAAAGCATGAGGCTTTACGCAGGATGCTTTCATCCTGGAGGCCGTCAGCTGGAGCGCTGAGTGCAGGGGGCTCCAAGCCAGGGGCTGAGGCCAGAGACAGTCAAGGGCCTTACATGAAATGCCAAGTGATTCAAACTTTATCCTGCAGGAAAGGGTTTTAAGCAGTGGGGGGGTGATGTGGTCAGATTTGCCCGATACCCAGATAACTCCTGCTCTTGCATGGAGGATGGGCTTAAGGGTGCGGCAGAGAAGCAGCAGGAATCCTGTCCTGAGTTTGCTGTTGCTCAGTGGTCTCAGTGGGAGTGTCAGGGACTAGGGCTGTGGCACAGGTGGAGAACAGGGACAATAAGTAGGGATACTTCAGAGATGGAATCAGTAGACTCTCGCTGGCAGAAACTTGAGGACAAATTTGTGTTCCTTGCCAGAGACTTTTGTGTGTGTCTCTGTGGTGTTTGTGGGCATAGATTGTGTCCCTCTTCGCACACGTCACATGTGTGTCCCTCTATGCACACATCACATGTGTGCATGCGTGTGCATGCATGTGGGGCTGCTGTCTGGATGCACGTTGGTGATGACGTACGCGATTGTGCATGTGAGAGTCTGTGCTCTCAGGCATCCTGCAATCTGCATGACTGTATTTATGTGTCTGTGCCTACAGCTTTATGTATGTTGCTCCCAGTCCAGCTGTGAACCCCCCCTCCACAGCCCACTCCAATTGTGCTCCAGGCTCTGCACAAGATTCTGTGTGCCAGGCACCCTCCGGGACTTCAGCTGCTTTCCAGGCTCCTGCTGCTAAAGCAAGAAGCATCTTCCATCCCTGTTTGATGCTGCAACACGCACCCCAAGGCAGTTCTTCAAAGGGAGCCACTAGGAGTGGGAAGAAAGAAAGTAAACATCGGGATTAAAACTGTGAACTAAGCCTGCCCCTGCTCTAGACCTGGCGCATGAACCTGCTCCCACAGGCAGGCTTTGATTTGACAACTGCATTTCCCCAGGCCAGGATCCCAGGGGGAGCAAGAGGTTCTGGGAACAGAGATGGGCAGGGCTCAAGGATGGGCTGGGGGACTGCCCCTCCCACTCAGCAGCTTTCCAGTTTGGTGAGTCCCTCTTCAAATGGCCTGTCCTTAAGGCCATGGACAGAGAGCTCCTTCCTTCCTTCCTTCCTTCCTTCCTTCCTTCCTTCCTTCCTTCCTTCCTTCCTTCCTTCCTTCCTTCCCTCCCTCCCTCCTTCCCTCCCTCCCTTCCTTCCCTTCTTCCTTCCTTCCCTCCTTCCTTCCTTCCCTTCTTCCTTCCTCCTTCTGTCCCTCCCTTCTTCTCTTCCTCCCTCCCTTCCTCTCTTCTTTCCTCATTCCTCCCTTCTTCCCTTTCCCTTCTCCACCCTTCCCTTCCCTTTTCTCCTTCCCTCCTTCCCTAACCACCATTTCCAGAGGATACTGGGACTTCAAACTGGCTCATGTGTGTGCTGACTCTGATATTTAGTGGTTGTGTTATTGTGGGCAAGCATGCCTGTTTTAAAAGGTAGCTTACTCTGACCTCACACGGTTGTTGGTTGGGATTTAGTAAATTCAGGCAGGGATGTTCACAGCGAATGCCAGCCTGGCTGGAAAAGCTCAGTGCATGGTAGCCATCAGAATTGTTGTCATTGTTGCTCAGTGTCAGTGATCAGGAGTGACAGGGCGTCTCTTGATCTCAGCCTGCTTCTACCAGCAGGTAAACAATGAGCGCGATGAGAGTTGAATAAAAGACAGGGTGCTAGGGTGTTTGGAAGGGGCTCAGAAGAGCAAGAGCCAAGCCTTCCTGGGAGGAGGGGAAAGATCAGGGAGAGCTTCCTGGACGAGGTGACTCTCAAGTCTTACAGGACAGCTGGATTTCACCAAGTGAGTCCAGGCCAAGGAGAGGCTTTGGCTGAGGTGTGAGAGGCAAACTGCAAATACCTCTGGAGTGTCCTGGTCTTGGGTCCTGTGTGGGAAGTCTGTCTGCAGGCTATGATGGAAGCAGGTCCTATGGGTGCAGAGGGCGGCCAGGCCTGAAATTCCTCTTCTTCCTGGGCAGCACACACACATTCAGTGGCTGAGCAATGCCAGGGTGTAAAGGTGTGACCATCGCAGCCCAACTCAGGATGACTCTGAGCATCTTATCTAGCTCCACGACTCCTGCGAGGGATTGAGGAATTGGCGAGGCTGTGGCTGGACTGAACGGAAGCCCCACCTCTCCCTCTGCTCCACCTGCTTCCTTCCCTCCCAGAGACTCTCTAAACTTGAGTAAACACAGTGGCAGAGTCCCCTACTCACTCGTTTAGGCTGAGCATTGTCCTTCCATACTGCTCTCCCACTACCATCCTCTTTTGATTTTTAATTTAATTTCTTTTAAAGACAGGGTCTCAGCTGGGCGCAGTGGCTCTTGCCTGTGATCCCAGCACTTTGGGAGGCTGAGGAGGGCAGATCACAAGGTCAGGAGTTCAAGATTAGCCTGCCCAACATGGTGAAACCCCATCTCGACCAAAAATACAAAAGTTAGCTGGGCATGGTGGCATGCGTCTGTAATCCCAGCTACTCGGGAGGCTGAGGCAGGAGAATAACTTGAACCCAGGAGGCGGAGGTTGCAATAAACCAAGATCATGCCATTGCACTCTAGCCTGGGCGACAAAGCAAAACTCCATTTCAAAAAAAAAAAAAAATAGAGTCTCCATCTGGAGGCAGCAGTGTGATCACAGCTCACTGCATCCTCAACCTGGACTCAGGGGATCCTCTCACCTCAGCCTCTGTCTAGCTGGGATTAGAGGCACACACTGCTGTATGCAGCTAATTTTCTTTAAAAAATATATTTTTATGTTGCCCAGACTAGTCTTAAACTCCTGGGCTCAAGTGATCCTCTTGCCTCAGCCTCCCAAAGTGTTAGGATTAGAGGCATGAGCTACCACACGCAACCCTACTTGCCTCTTTTTAAAGTAAACTTCTTTTTTGTTGAAGTATAACATGCATACAGAAAGACACAAAAATTAACCAATTATGTACAACACAAATCTCTGCAAAGTGAACATAACCTATAACAGTCACCAGGTCAGGAAACAGAATTCCACCAGCATTCCCAGAGTCCCTTATTGCCCCACTCCTTCTCAAAGATAACCCCTCCGCTGACTTCTACCACCACAGATTGAAGGCTAACGTGTTTTTGAACTTGAAATTAATAGAATCAGAGCGTGCAATCTTATGTACCTGGCTTCTTTTGCTCAACCTCACGTTTATGGGATTTGTTCGTGTTGCTGCAGGTGGCAGTCCTTGATTCACCCTCATTGCAGTACACATTTTCACTGTCTAAATTACTCCCACTTTATCTACTCACCACTGATGGGCATTGGGGTGGTTTCTGGTTTATAGCTAATACAAACAGCTCTACTATGAACATTCTTGCCTTTTTTGTATAATTGACTTTTGGTGCATTTATAAACAAATGTCTGTTCGAAATATATATACCTGGGCTTAGAATTTCTGGAGTAGGCATGAATATGTTCAGCTTTAGTGATGCTTCCAAAGTGTTCTTCCAAAGGATGGTATTAATTTACCCTTTCTCCAGCAGCATGGGAGAGTTCCAGTTCCTCCGCATCCTCACCAGCACTTGATATTGTCAGTCTTTGCACGTTCAGCCATCACGCTGTAGTTCTAATTTGAATTTCCCTGATGGCTAATGAGGCTGAATGTCTTTTCGTGTGTTTCTTGGCCATTTGGAGGACCTCCTTTGTGATGTGGCTCTTCTACGTTTTGGGCCGACGTATTTACTGGGGTTTTTGCCTTGTGGATTTGGAGGCATTCGTTTTATACATGCAAGTGCTATGTCAGATCCCCAAGCTCCCTTTTTGAGATTCAGATATCCCTAGGGCAAGGTGAGGCCTGGCATCACCAATACCTGGGTGGTTCCAAATTACTTTCTCCCTTCTCTGGGCCTGGGAAGCCCTTCCAGAAAGGAGGCCTCCTCAGTGAGGCTGCGTTTTCCTTCCTCTCACAAGTTTTATTCTTTTGGCTGGGAGAAGCTGAAATACAAAAAGGCACACACTAAAAGGAGTCAGGAGCAAAGATCTGAAGTTTTCACAGAGGCAAAAGGAGGCCATGGGAAGAGTTTGGCCTCTCCCCTCCATCCAGGCAATGACAGGTGGTGAGCATCTCAGTCTGGCCTTTAAGTGAGAAGGTAACTACAGACCATGCTCTGAGGAGCTCTCAAGCTCAGGATACCTGGCAGGGGACTGGAGGAGGTTGGAATCACCTCCCTGCTTTCAGAGAGATAGTGCAGAGGAAGTGCCCCAGCCCAGGGGGATTGGAGGAGGAGATGAGAAGAAAGAAACAGGGGATCAGAACGTTTGATGGAAAAATGTGAACCCCTCAGTGGACAGGACTCTGTCTTCATCTCCAGATCCCTGGTCCTTAGCACAGAAGGTGCTTTTGAACATGCCTACCAGAAGGTAAGGGGCATGGAGAACATTCTGAAGATAAGCCCTGTGGGAGGAGAGCCTGTGGCTGCTCATCAGTATGGGGTGAATGAATGAAGTTCAAATTACAATGTAAATAATAATAGCTCTGCTTCTTGAGCAGCAACCAGGCATGTGTACCTACTAGCACCACATTTCATCCAACAAGCATCCCCATCTTACAAATGAGAAGAGGAAACTGGCCCAAGGTCACTAAGCTGAAATTTATACCCAGTTCCATCTGATTCCAAAGCTCACATGCTTTTTCCCTAAACTGCACACTTTCTCATGACAGAAATCGTAAAGAGCAGTTCACCAAGGTGTCCTCCAGGCAAGAAGTTCACTCTTCTCCCTTCCAGATGAGGGATCACAGGCCCAAGAGGAGGGACTCCAAGAAAAGGAGGGGGAGATAAAATTACAGATGCTCCTTTATCCTGCCCATCACCTCCTTCAAACCGTTTCACCTCCCTTCCTCCCCTCCCTCCCTCCCTTCTTTCTTTCCTTCCCTCCTTCTTCCTTCCTTCCTCCCTTTCCTCCTCCACAAACATTTCTTGAGCACCAACTGTGTGCTCAACTCTGTGCTAGGGCCAAAGTGACCGGAACAGACACAAAACCCTGTCTTCATACAGTTTACACTCAGTGGTGAATGCAGAAGACTGTCATTAATCAAATGAAAATGTCATTGCGTATGGGGTGGGGAATCCTGGAGGCAATTGCATGTGGTTTGCTCTTCCGGCTGCAGACACTCCCCAGTGTGGGAAGGAGCCCAACCTCTGTGAGTTCTGTTCTCAGAAGATTTTGTGTTGCTGGGTGAGCTACAGCATCCAGCCAAACCACTGGCTGGACAGGCTGCTGTTGCCAAGCACCCCAGAGCACACCTCCTCCCCTTCCTGGCTTTTGTTTTGTAAAAACATGTTTTCAGGGGGATTATACTGAAATATCTGAGAAAGGGAGGGCTTGGAGCAGGTGAGGAGGAAGTAGCTGAAGAAGGGATTTGGGGAGCTTCTCCCAACCAGAAAAAGGGGTAGACAGGCAGTAGGGATGGGTGGTGGTGGGGAGACCTTGGAGGGAATGGACAGTGAGGACCCCAGGGTGGTCACGCCTATTTGGCACATGAGGTTCCCAACCTCGGCAAAGGTGCAAATAATCCTTCCCATAAACACACACACACACACACACACACACACACACACACACACACACACACTCAGGTAAGCTTGAGGGACATTGTAGAGCCTCCAGTGTTCAGGGACTAGGAAATCCTGGACAACAGCCATTATCTGTGGTGTCCAGGGCAGCTCGAAGTCCAGAGGACCTGGCCCGAGCTGTGTGGGTTCCTTGAGCCCCTAGACCCTTGCTTATGTGGGGAGGACCCCCAAAACCAACCGAGATGGAACTGCCCAGCCTTGCAACACAGCCCCTGTTCTTCACCTGGTTTTCCTCCCTTCATCTTCAAGCTCCTTCCTGGCCTCTGGTCTCCCGTATTTCTTCCGGCCTTTTCATTCGATCCTCCACTCCCTAACTCCAGTGGTAGACCTCAACCCAGAACCCTTATGTGCTTCTCTAGCATATTCCCCCAAACCTCAGTTGTTTAGACAGATGACACTGTGGCAGGGTGGAGGGGGTAATAACATTACTACCTCATCAGAAAGGCGTGAAGATTAAACAAAATAATCCACCTGCGGCCTCTAGTGGAGCATCTGAAACATGGGACGTGCCCCGTCAACGTGAGCTACTGTTGTGAATTACATTTCCAAGCAGAGGGGAGATGGGAACGCAGACCCAGAGGCCTGGAGGGGCATGGCACATTCACACAGCAGGGCAGTCTGAGGCTCACAGGAGGGTTGCTGATGCAGGAAGGCCACCCAGGATCTAGAACCAGGATCTAGGCCGCCAGGATGTGTGATCACATACGCCATCCTGAGGGTCTGTGATCTCATCCTGCAGGCCATGGGAAGTATAAACGGTTTATTTTATTTATTTATTTATTTATTTATTTATTTATTTATTTATTTAGAGACAGAGTCTCGCTCTGTCACCAGGTGCCAGGCTATAGTGCAGTGGTGTGATCTCGGCTTACTGCAACCTCCACCTCCCGGGTTCAAGCAATTCTCCTGCCTCAGCCTCCTGAGTAGCTGGAACTACAGGCAAACGCCACCACGCCCAGCTAATTTTTGTATTGTTTTTTAGTAGAGATGGGGTTTCACCGTGTTGGCCAGGCTGGTCTCAGCCTCTTGACCTCATGATCCGCCTGCCTTGGCCTCCCAAAGTGCTGGGATTATAGGCGTGAGCCACCGCGCCTGGCCTAAATGGTTTATTTTTTTAATTTTTTAATTTATTTTATATCTTTTGGAGACAAGGTCTCACTCTGTTGCCCAGGAGTACAGTGTCGCAATCACGGCTCACTGCAGCCTCCACTTCCCGAGCTCAGGTGATCCTCCCACTTGGGCATCCCAAGTAGCTGGGACTACAGGTGTGCACCACTACGCCTGGCTAATTTTTGTAAGTATGAGTGTTTTTTAAGCAGGGATGTGCATTTTACAGGCCCCACTTGGCCATGGTATGGAAGATGGATCTCAATAGGGAGAGACACACTATTACATACCATGGACCCTGGTTTATAAGGACCATCCTTCAGCATCTGGGCGGGCAACATAGGGAGAAGGGGAGGCTAACCATTTTCCAACTGTATCTCATTTGTAGTGAGTAAGCAGCTTTGGAATCATGTTAATTGGATTGCCAGAGAGGTGATACAGCAGGGGAAAAAAACTGTAAAGATATTGCAAAACAGAAAACCTATTGTGGCTCTGTAGGTGATTCGGGGACACAGATGTGTCAAAGTTTCTTAAATCCTGACGCCTCCCTTCCCACCCCCTGTTCTACCCACTGAGCCCAGGCAGTCTCTTCTTCAGGTTGTGCATTCATGAGACTCTGTAGCGCAGCAGCAAAACAAACAAAGCCTCAGCTGAGACCAGCTTAAATGGCAAAGGGAAGTTATTGACTTGCATAATTGAAAAGCCTCGGGGAGGTTTGGCTTCAGGTGAAGCTCGATCTTGTGACTCAAACAATGTTACCTAAGACCCGGTTTCTCTCTGTCCTGCCATCTACCATATAGGCCTCACCTGCAGGCTGCACGTAGTGGACGTAAAGGACGCTCAGTCACTCCAAGCTTTCCCTCACAATTATAAATGGCTGTGTTGGTGCCCGACTTCACATCTTTGCCTTACTCTCCCCCACCCGAGGGGGAGTCTCTCTTCCAGCAAAGTAATTCCTTCTTCACACAATAGCCTTCCTTTCCTCCCCTGCCTCCTTGCTGCACCTTGGCTCTGAGGGGGGGATACAGCCAGCCCAAAACAATGAAGAGGGGGTGGGGCCGGGATCCACAGTTGGCTGAGGATCCACCATCCTCACTCAAACCACGTGGAGGGCAAAGGAGGAAGGCCGCTTTCCCAAGGGAAATTTACCCTGAGAACCTGGGTTCTGGACAAGGGTGAATCCAATGCCACCTGCTGTGTGCCTTCTCCCTACTCTCTAGGATTTGTCCTCCAGATTTGGAGGCTCCTCTGCTGTCCCCATCCTTTAAGGAGAGGCCTTCCCAGTGCTGTCCTGCTCTCTCTCCTGAGCCATCTCCCCCTCTTCTGCCTTCCTTGACCACCCATGTTCGCTGACTCCTGAACTCACATCTCCATCCAGATGTTTCTTCTGTACCACGGAACCATGTATCCACCGCCTCCACACTTTCCATTCTGAATTCCCACAGAGACCTGACATCCAACATATCTAAAGCCCAACTCATTCTCCTCCCAACCATCCTGCTCCAAACTTGCTCCGCCTTCTATATTGTCACCATTGCCCCTGAGCTGGAAACCTGCTCACCCTTCATCCCTTCCTCTCTCATTTCAACAAATCTCATGGAGCCCCAGGCCATACATCCCTGGAATCCATCCACTTTTTTCTCTACCTTCCCCCAGCCTCTGTTAGGTGCTTGGTGAGTTCTGCTTGACTGACTTTATATTCTAGCTGAGGCCCCATGCCCTGCACTGTAGAACCTCCTCACTGCTCCTCCAGCCACTAGAGTGGCCTGGCCCTGAAGGCAGGGTCGATACCCTCATCACTGCTGTACTGACAAGAGCTCAGGACAGCACCTCGGGCTTAAAGGCTTCCACATAAATGTTCATAAATGTGCAGATGAGCAAATCAAAGGGCAAGAGGATTCTTCCTGGGAAAATGTCACTATCTCCAAAGGCCTAGGGAAGCAGGAGCTTCCTCAGACAACTGGCGCTGGCCTGGCAGAGCCTGGTCCTTCCTCGTTCAAAGCTCATCAGGCAGAGGGCTGCCCAGCTCCAGCCAGGGGTGCAGGACAGTTCCTGGCAGGTGCTGTTCATCAGAGGAAAGGATTCTATTTTTTTTTTTTTTTTTTCTGAGACTGAGTCTCGCTCTGTCACCCAGGCTGGAGTGCAGTGGTGCGATCTTCGGCTCACTGCAACCTCCGCCTCCTGGGTTCAAGCAATTCTCCTGCCTCAGCCTCCCAAGTAGCTGAGATTACCGGCATGTGCCACCACACCTGGCTCCGTGTTGCCCAGGCTAGTCTCGAACTCCTGAGCTCAGGCGATCTGTTTGCCTCAGCCTCCCAAAGTGCTGGAATTACAGGCGTGAGTCACCAAGCCTGACTGGAAAGGATTCTTAAAGAGCCTTGAATCTCCAAATTCTGTGATTCCAAATGCTCAGCTTTTCCCTTAAGCTCAGTACAATTAGCCCCAGTTACCACCTGGAGCAGCTAAAAGTCCAACGGCTCAATTTCTTGTTTAAAGTCAGAAAACGAGCACATCGCAAAGTGCGCTTGTTCTTCCCCCACCCTGGTCACAGGAGGTAGGCATGTGGGTTAACAACCCCTAGGACTTCAGCTACTGCAGTGACGTTAAAACATCTATCAGGAAGAAGGGAAAATGCGCCTGTTTGGCTTTAAAGGGCTCACAAACTTTATTAGCCATCTGTGACTCGGTAGAGACAGCAGCAGATCAGTGGCAAATGCACACATGTGGAAACAGATCCGCGGCTGTGTGTTTTCAGTCTTCTGTATCAGGCATCTGCATTTTTATAGACAAAGGCTTCTCTTACCTCTCTTCTGCGGAACAAGGAACTCCTTCAGTCTCTGACAGGCTTAGAAATAAACATAAGAAAGGAGGAGAGAACTTGGTTTTGTCATATTCCTGTTTGGGCAGTAACCCTGAGAACAAACACCCTCACTGCTCCCATTTTTCCAGATGAAGAAACAAAAGCCTAGAAGAGTCCCGACTGATCCAAGTTTGAATGGTTGGTGAGTGACAAATCCTTTTTCCCCTTCTGTCCTCCCCAAAGCCCTAGAGGTACCAGGCTGATGACACAATCGTGTTTAGATCCTAGGACCTCGGTAACCCTCCTGAGAGAAACCAGGATTATAGGGGCCTGGGGATTTATTACACTTGTTTTGACACTGGTCCCCAGTGGGAAGCCTGAGTAGGAACCTCACAAGACAGCCTGGTCTTCCTGTTTGCAAGAATATTAGTGCATATAGTGTACACCATGGTAGACTCTGGAAGATTTCTCCCTATATGACCCACCTTATGTGATGCTAATTGGATTTTTTTTTTTTTAAGACAGAGAGGTACCAAGAAGAAAACAAACAAACAAAAAAGAGTCAAAATCTCCCTGATCAGATAGCTTTTGTTGACATTAACAAACCCAAGTATAAGGTTAAAAAATTCAAACAGCAGGAAAGTTTTAAAAATTAAATACCATTCACCTCTCTTCTGCTCCCAAAGGCAGTCTTTGCTAATATTTTCCTGTGATTTTTTCCAGCAAAAAGGAGCATGCAGAATCCTATAGATATGACTCTATTTTGTTTTCGACAGGAATAGTGAGATTACCCCCGAGGTGTTCTGCAACCTGCCCCTTTCACTCTAACATGTCTGAAAGAAGCTTCCCATTTTAGCACAGGGCAATCCACCTTTCCTTTCTTTTCTCTTTTCTTTCTTTTTTTTTTTTTGAGACGGAGTCTTGCTCTATTACCAGGCTGGAGAACAGTGGCATGATCTTGGCTCACGGCAACCTCCAACTCCTGGGTTCAAGGGACTCTCCTGCCTCAGCCTCCCAGGTAGCTGGGATTACAGGCATGTGCTCCCACACCCAGCTAATTTTGGTATTTTTAGTAGAGAGAGGGAGGGTTTCATCATGTTGGCAAGGCCAGTCTCGATCTCCTGACCTTGTGATCCACCCACCTTGGCCTCCCAAAATGCTGGGATCACAGGCATGAACCACTGCACCCTGCCGCACCTTTCTTTTCCTGAACTCTATGTGTTCACATTCTTTGCTCATTTAAATATCTGGCATTTGGTTGTTTTCTTATCAAACTTTTTTGTGAATTAATAAGTTCTTGGTGAAATTTATATGTTAGAAATACATTTTCTCTGTTTTTCACCACTGTAACTTCAAATAAATATTAGCGTTTCTTCTTTTTAGCCACACAAGGATCACAGAGAGGAGAAGATGAAGGAGGGAAGGAGGGAAGGGAGGAAGGGAAGGAGGGAGGGGAGGGAGGGGAGGGAGGAAGGGAGGAGAGAAGAAGAAGAGGAAGAAGCAGAAGAAGAAGAAAGGGAGGAAGAGGAGAAGGAGAGGAAGGAAGGAGAGGAAGGAAGGAAGGAAGGGAGGGAGGGAGGGAGGGAGGAAGGAAGGAAGGGTGGAGGGAGGGAGGGAGGGAGAGAAGGAGGGAGACAGGGAGGGAGGGAGGGAAAGAGAGAAGGAGGGAGGCAGGGAGGGAGGGAGGGAAGGAGTCAGTGCTTCTCTGCAGGCCCCAGCTGTCCTTGCACAGTCCTGTAGAAGCGTCTCCTGTCCTCCCTCTCCCTGGGATTCAGCTTGGCTTCTCTTTTCCTTGGGTGACTGGGCTTTCTAAGGGGACACTGGCTACAGGCAGGTGGTTGAGCAAATACTTTGTGGGAAGATCATGCCCTATTTCCCATCCAGACACCAGTGCCCTATTTCTATTTAGCAGAACACTGAAAGCAGGAAAGCAGTAAGATAATTAGCACGAAGTCAAACCTCTTTTGGCATTCTGCTAGGAGTGGAAGGGCAGGGAAGGCGAGGGGCAGTTGTGACAAGGTGAGGGGAGAAGGTTCAGATATTGGTCTTATTCAGATACATCTTGGAAGGCTGGAGGATGGGCTAGATGACCTCTCAATGTCCTTCCAGTCTGAGATATTCATTGCCACTGCGTCCTCACCCCTGTAAATCTGCCTCCGGCCTCTCATTCTGAAACCTCCAGCTTTATGGCCTCCCTGAGTTGGCCAGGGAATCTTTTCCCCTCCTGATTATAAAAATAGCACATACTTCCTATTACCAAAAGTTTGACACTTTAAAGAAACAGGAAAATATGATACCCACAATCAGCTCCCCAGAGGAAGGCATGCTTAACAATCCAAACATTTTAGGCTATTTTCTTTTTTTTTGTTTTAAGACAGAGTCTCACTCTGTCACCCAGGCTGGAGTGCAGCAGCACGATCTTGGCTCACTGCAACTCTGCCTCCTCGGTTCAAATAATTCTTGTGCCTCAGCATCCTTCGTAGCTAGGACTATAGGCGCACGCCACCATGCGGGGCTATTGTTTTGTTTTGTTTTGTTGTACTTTTAATAGAGACAGGGTTTCACCGTGTGAGCCAGGATGGTCTCGATCTCTTGACCTCATGATCCACCCGCCTCAGCCTCCCAAATTTCTGGGATTACAGGCATGAGCCACAGTGCATGGCAGGCTACTTTCTTCTGGTCTTTTTTCTACACATATATATTTGCAGCTCTGTTACAGGCTTCTTTCTGGGGTCTTCTGGAGAGGGTGTATCAGGAGATCAGTCTCCCTCCCTCCAGGTGGTTTGTCCCCAGTGGATTGCTTCCCATACCCAGTGGCTCTCAGGGACAGAGCTGCTTTGGCTCACCCCAACCAAGGATGCAGCTGGAAAGCCTTTCTCTGCAGTAACTCAGACCTTAAGGGAGGTTTCACTTCATTGAATGAAAACAGGACACTGGACCAGGTGTGGTGGCTCACATCTGTAATCCCAGCACTTTGGGAGGCCAACATGGGCAAATGACTTGAGGTCAGAAGTTTGAGATCAGCCTGGCCAACGTGGTGAAACCCTGTCTATACTAAACATACAAAAATTAGCTGGGCATGTTGGTGGGCACCAGTAATCCCAGCTACTCTAGAGGCTGAGGCAGGAGAATTTTTTGAACCTGGGAGGCATAGGTTGCAGTGAGCCAAGATTGTGCCATGGCACCCTAGGCTGTAAAGCAAAGTGAGACGCCAACGGAAGGGAAAGGAAAGGGAGGGAAGGGGAGGGGAGGGGAGTGGAGGGGAGGGAAAAAGAAAAAGAAACAGGAGACTGTCCTCAGGTCTCCCAGAATTGGAGTCCTATTGGGGGAAATGGGAGGGTGGAGGCAGGTATCTGCAGAAGTCCCACAGACCCACACAAGATCTTCTGCATGAATCTCTTCCCTGTCTCCCCTTTTCCTGTTGCCTCTAGCTTCTCACCTCTCCTCAGCAGCTACTGCTTCAGAGGAGGAGAGGTGGGATCTCTGGGAAGGGAGATGTGGGGAGGAGGGGCTCCCTGAGGTGCCAGGTGGGAGGTGGGGAAAGGAGGACTTCCGCTTAAACTGTAGCTGCTTCACTCAATGGTGCATCTAAAATAAAACATATCTCATTCTCCAAAACCTAATCTTTTCCAGGAAGGAAAATACAACCACACAAATAATATTTGGCCCACATAAGAAATTGATATTCCTCCTCTCACTGTACCTGCAACTCTATGTCCTGTGAGCAAACACTCTGACCTTATTAGCCCAAGAGAACATTTACATCCTCTCTGTCCAAGGTCAGATGACAAGATATCCTTTATTAACTTGACAAAACAGCATATTGTAGTCAAGTTACCGACTCCTTTCATCACTTGGAAGGGAAATAGTGGTAGGCGTGGGATCTTGGGGAACACAGGGCAAGAGGTCTCTTTTCACTTGATTACACGTATTTTAACATGAACTTCCACAATTTTTGTGGGTTTTTTCACAATATCATAAGCACCACCCCCCAAGTTTTTAAAAACTCCCTAAAGACCCTGTCTTATATAAGCACCCTTGCAAATGAACGCATACTATTCCGCTGCAGAGATAGCCACGGTTCTGTGATTTTAGGAACACAGGTCTTTGGGTCCCTAAAGACCAAAAGACCTCATATTATTCTTGCTAAAGTAAAAACCTTAAGAGTCCCAATAGCCAGCTTAGTAATTGCAGGTAACTGGTAAAGAGCAGCTTCCGTTAGAGGACTGGAAATATCCCCCTGGTGGTCAGAGCTGTATGCAGAAGGCACTGAGGTGGAGTTTGGCTGCCACCACAAAAGGGGAGTCAAGAAATGTATCCTAGGAGGAGACACAGTATCTGGGTCATTGTTTCCACAGCTGTCAGTCTATCCCAGGGAACAGAACTGAAGACATTTCATTCTGGACACAGGCAGGCAGCTGTGTCATTGCACAAGAGTGGACAGATGTGGGGCCAGCACATTCCTAACCTTGAACTCATCATCTCTGAGATCGTGGAGCCCTCAGTTCTCAATCCTGGTTGTACATTAAGAGGGGAAAGAAGCCGGTACTACTCAGGACTTATTGTAGACTGATTAAAGAAAAGAATCAGAGTGTTTCCCCTCTGGAAAATCTGAGAGAGAAAGCTCTCCGTTCAATGTTTGTAGTTCGGATGGCCTGGAAAGCCTCTGGAGGCAGGGAGTGGGCTCTATGATTTCTGTTAGGGCCCCTTTCCCTCCCTGTGTTCCTTATCCAGGACTTGGCAGGAAACACTGGGATATCAACAATTTCACAGAGTGTTTTCTGCAATTTTTCTGCTTTTGTTTTATCTTCGGGTCTCATCATCAGGGAGATTTGATGAATAGGCCAGAAATTTTGGAACCACCGCTTGGCTTCTGACTGCCCCAGGCTTTCTTGAAAGTTTCCAGCAGTCAAGACTTTCATTCAAATATCTGCAGGGGACTTTCAAGGGAAGGGCTGGGAAGCTCATAGCCCCATTAGGACTTCCTATGACCTTCCCAGAGGGCCCAGCCACACAGCTGCGGGCTGGAATGCAGCAGGAAACCCAGCTCCAAGTTATATCACAAGCAGCCTTCAGCAGCCAATCCTGAAATATCCCATTTCTTCCTGATCCGCCCCCACTCCCAAACACACATCTAACCAGCCAGTAAGATTCAGCAGTTACCTCTGAAATGCATCTTGGATCTTGGATTCCCTGTCCTAACACCAACTCCCCAGTGCAGGAAAAAAAATCTCCTAACTGGACTTCCAATCTCCAGTCTCTCCACCTCCAGCCCACTCTCCATGCCACAGCCAACGTGATCTTACTAATCTAAGAACTTCTGATTTGAAGATGGCATAAAGTTAGTAATCCTCTCTTCATTTTCTGGAAGTAATCCAAAAACAAAAAGGAATTGAGAGATAAAAACACAAATTCCATTTTTAGTGAAAGCAGGAGACAAGTAAACCACAAAACAGGTGGAAGAGTTGCCAAAAGCAATGGAGCTTCAGCAGAGACGTGGCGGGAGGAAGTAGATCAAGGACGTAGTGCTGCAGTCTTCGGTACAGCCTGAAAAATACTCCTCCCGAAGGGGAGGGGCACACCCAGATGCAGAATACACAGAGGCCTTGCGTGCAACAGCAGTAAACGGGTGCAGGTGCTGTGGAATGAGCTCTTGCTGGCTCAGGACTCAGGCAAGCCAGAGTTGTAGCAAATAGTCTGTTTCTGTAGCAACAGGGGAGGAGAGACTTTGCCTTGGGGAATCCTCACCATTGGTTGCAGAGAATTGAAGGCTTAGTCAATTTACATCAACCCTGGGTCATAAGGAAAATTTAGTCAACCTGGAAGACAGTCTTGGACTCTCCCACCTGAGGTCCACACTGGGGGCGGGGGGCGGTCTGCTTCAATAATGAGTAATATCTACAAAGTTTTGACAAGAAACAAAGGACAAAAAAAAAAAAAAAGAAATAGCAAACAGCAGGTAAAGAAGATTCATCACAAAACATTGCCACGGAACAGATGAAAATTCTAATGAGAAAATTGAGAAAATGTAGCAAAGTAATTCCCTCCACAACGAAAACACACACCTGAGAGATCAGGGAAGCGGTAACGAAACAGTGGAAGGAAATGAATCCTGAGCTGCCATAGCTCAGGGAAGACGTGAAAGAAAAAAAGAAAACTATCCAAACTCCACTCTTAAAATGAACCCTAAAATTTGAAGCAGTAAAAGGGGAACACATACCCTTGGAAACTCAATGAGAGATAGTGAGAGGAATAAGAAAAGTAGGCAAATGAAATGAAAATAAAGGATTAGAGGGAAAACATTAGGTACTTTTGAAAGGCAAAGTACATTTCATTCTACATGCATTAAATATGTCTGAAAGGGGCTGCGCACAGTGGCTTACACCTGTAATCTCGCCACTTTGGGAGGCTGAGGCAGGAGGATCACCAGAAGTCAGGAGTTCAAGACCAGCCTGGCCAACATGGTGAAACCCCGTCTCTACTAAAAATACAAAAATTAGCCGGCATGGTGATGTGCACCTGTAGTCCCTGCTATAGGGAGGCTGAGGCAGGAAAATCACTTAAAACTGGGAGTGGAGGTTGCAGTGAGCTGAGATCACACCACTGTATTCCAGCCTGGGTGACGGAGTGAGACTCCATCTCAAAAAAAAAGAAAAACAAAATTCTGAAAGGGCACACAAGAAATTGATAATATCAGTTGCTTCTAGGGAATAAAATTGGGTCAGCCGTGAGGTAGAGTGGAAGGGGTGGAAGGAGGCCTAGGATGGAAGGGAGGTTTTTCACTTTCGTGGTTTTTAAAGTGTTGACTTGTATGAACATGTTAGCTCATCAAAAACATTCAAATGAAGCAATACACACCCTACCTCCCAATACGCACACACTTTTACAATCCGATTATGTTATTCTCTGCTTAAAACTCTTCCATGGTTCTCATTTCTCTTAGGATAAAAAGCACACATCTAAAAATGGCTTATTAGTAGGGTGATCATATAATTTATTGTCCAACAGGGCACTTAAGATCAAAAAGAAGCACTACAGATGTAAACTGGGACTAAGGCCATCTACTTATAAGGCAGGCCACAATCTGGTCCTTGTTTCCCCTCCAGCCTCATCTGTCACCTTCCAGCCCACAGGCTCTAACCCCAGTCTTGTTGAGCTATAAGCAGTTACCCTCTTCCCTCCAGACCTCCCAGCACAAGCTGTCCCCTCTGCACAGTACTTCCTTCTTCTAAGTCTCCCCTATACCCTATACCCTACCCTTTGGCTTATTCTGTATATCCTTCGGATCTGATTTACCTTACATATTTCATCAGTTCTAAAATGCATGTTCTGGCCAGGTGCAGTAGCTCATGCCTATAATCCCAGCACTGTGAGAGGTCAAAGTGGGAGGACTGCATGAGCTCAAGAGTTCAAGACCAGCCCGGGCAACATAATGAGACATTGTCTTTACAAAAAGTTAAAAAATAATGATGGTTGGGTGCCAAGGCTCATGCCTATAATCCTAGCACTTTGGGAGGCTGAGGCAGGTGGATTGCTTGAGCTCAGGAGTTTGAGACCAGCCTGGGCAACATGGCCAAACCCTGTCTCTACCAAAAATACACACACACAAAAATTAGCTGGGCATGGTGGCATGCACCTATAGTCCCAGCTACTTGGAAGGCTGAGGTAAGAGAATTGCTTGAGCCTGGCAGGCAGAGGTTGCAGTGAGCTGAGATCAAGCCATAGCACTGGAGTGAGACCTTGTCTCAACAACAACAACAAAAAGTTTAAAAAATTAGCTGGGCATGGTGGCTCACGCCTATAGTCCCATCTACTCAGAAGGTGGGAGAATCACTTGAGCCCACGAGGTTGAGCTGCAGTGAGCTGAGATTGTGCCACTACACTCCAGCCTGGATGAGTGACAGAAAGAGACCCAGCCTCTCAAAATAAATAAAGAATAAAATAAAATAAAATGCACATCCCTCACCTCCCTACCACCCCGTCACATTTTCACACCTCTGAAATTAGAATAGGTAATAAAATCCATGACACATCATGGTTCAGTGGGCAGCATTTTTCTTCATGGTACATAAATTAATGATGCATCTTACAGCAGAAGAATCTTGGGTTTGATGACCCGTGTTATCACACTGCACTGTAACTGCTTGGTTCCAAGGTTAGCTTTCCACTCACTGGGAAAGCTAGTCACTGAGGGCAGGACTGTGTCACTGGCACTTTCTGGAAAATGGTAGTTCCACAATAAACATTTTCTGAACATGCGTGAATAAAATCATGCAGTTTAATCAACTTTACTGAAAATACTTCACATCATTTTCTGTCGAGGCCCTATAGCTTAACTGGCAACGTAAAACTTGCAATGAAGAAGAAAATTTCAGAAGAAAAATTTGTCTAAGGGTAGGGGGTTTTCTCTCAGACATTTCTGCACATTTTTCCCCTCTCAACACTTCTGGTTTGCTCTGGGTCTTCAGATTTCCTGAAGACTCTTGATGACTGAAGGCAATCAAGATCCATATGGAAGGAATGTTTGTTTTTAATAGCAGGACTTTAGATCTGTGAAGGGAAGTGAAATAAAATTATGTATATATTTCCATTTTCTATCGAAGTTTCAATCTCACTCTTAACTTGGTTCACAAAGCAGAAGTGACAAAATGCCAAACAAAAATGCAGTTATTTATTCAACGCATATCTGCAGAATTCCCACTATTTGCCTGCATTCTTTTCCATACTGAGACCATCCCAGTAAATAAGACAAGGTCCTTTCCCTCTCGGAGCTTGCAATCAAATAGTGGTTGATACAATGATGTACATGCAAATTAAAAACGTAATATGTCAGAAGTGGTGACTCTGATGATAATATGCGAATGTAATATTTTATTACGCTGTGGGAACCCCAGCTTGTCTGATCAGAACAACTACCAGGGAGCTCGTTAAGGAGGGAGATCTTGGGCCCCTGCTAGCCCCACTGAATCAAGATCTACAGCAGAGAGGCCGGGACAAAACTATTTTAGGGAGTGCTCCAGTAATTCTTGTGATCACAGGACACCAAGGCTGTGTCAGAGCTTTTCAACCTTGGCTGCAAGCTAGAATCACATGGAGAGCTGTGAAAATGTGTGACACTGGATCCCTTTCCCATGGATTCTGATTTCATCCATCCAGGATGAGTCCTGCCTCTGTATTTCAAAGCTCACCAGATGACGCTAGTGGGCAGCCAGGGTTGAGAACCTAGGGCTACACTGCCTCGGGGATAGTTGGAGGTTAGAATTGGCAACTTGCTGCCCACTCTTGCTCAGGAATCAGGCTCTTGTATGCAGCTGCTTGCCCGAGTCCAAGATGAAATATCTCTCCTACACCCAGGGAAAGACGGGCAGCTAACCCAGGTACTGTGTCTTCTGCGTCTGGCTTTATACCTTTGCCTTGGATGTAGCTCCTCTTTGGATATGCTTCCTGTACAGCGCCAAGTCTGAGAGGCGACCCCTACTGTAACATTTCAGCTGGGCCTGGCCTCAATACCCAGCTGACAAATGGGGAAACTGAGGCTTACAGATGTCACACTTCTCCAACTGAGGCCATAATTTGACGCAACACTTTCAGTCACCTAACACAAGCCATTCTCTCTTTGCAGTTTCTTTGGAAAGCCCCCAGTGTATAATTTCCATCAGTAACTTCATTTTGAAATCCCATCAAGCCTACCGGCTGCTATGCCAGGAACCCAAAATGCAAACACTCCAACAGCTGCCTTTAAATAAAAGGAAGAAACTGTTTCCCTTCTTCAGCTCAACAATTTCCAAAATCATTATGTCACTACTCCTGGCCTCTAAGGGGAAGTGAGGAGGAAGGCAAGAAGATGTAAGTCCTAGGAAACCCTGGCATGAGAAGTACTGTCATTCTCTTTTCCTATGACCAGTCTCTGAAGTCCCTACCACTCTAAGACATTATATCCTAACTGGGCACAATGGTAATTTTTCCCCCCAGAGGAAGTGGGGTGCTATGGAAAATACTCAAGTTCAGGCCTCAGTTGGAGAAGTGTGACATCTGTAAGCCTCAGTTTCCCCATTTGTCAGTTTTGTCGTGAGGATTGGAGGCTACATAACTAAAGCAGTAACCACTTGCACATAGTAGGTAACTATGCACATAGTAGGTAGCTATGGTTGTTATTGCATCCTCTCTGCCTTTCGGTATTTTTCTCCTAGAGAAATGACTATGCTGGGATTTTTTTTTTTATGTTGTTGCTCAATGAGCTGGAAAAGGCAGCCCTGCTGATTAGAATGCTGGTTTGCAGGAAACAGAGTGGTAGTGTTGACATTTGCAAAAAGCTTTCCTGCTAAACTTTAAACACTTGGCAGATCTAATCCTGCTGGCATTGCCTGTTGGTGATATTTCTATGGTTATAACGGACATGCCGAGTTCAATCAAACACCCAGGGAAAGGGCAGGATAATTGGTTTCCTTCAGGTTTCCAGCAAAGTTATGTGGACACAAAGTCCATTTTAGCATGGAGGAAACTAATGTATATTGAGTATTTCCTGTCTAGCACATTTGGAGGTGCTCAATAAATGCTGAGAAGCTGAATACACTGTGACGGGATGAATGCACTGCATAGGCCGGAATGGACCATGCATTTTAATTTTGTACTACATGGTTTGCTATGGGTAAATGGTTAATTTCAAATATTGATGTATTTATTTGAGCAAAGGGTGTGTCAGTCCACATGCCAGGTTCTGAGAACATACCTGTAAGCAAAAACAGATAAGATGTCGCTGCCTTGTGAGCCCTCAGCACAGACAGGGCGCTGAAACAGGAATATTCTCCTACTCTGTGTGCTAAGTCCTGTGATGGGGAAAGCACCGAAGGCATCTAACCCAGCCTGGACTAGGAAGGGGAAGTGGAAATAGACGCTGGCTCTGGAGGTGCCAGGCAGTGGGAAACTCAGGGAAGGACTAAGCCTCGGAGGAACTGGAAACGGGTTAGCCCAGCCCGTGCAGGAAGAGGCGACAGGCAAGGTGAGAAGATCCCCAGCTGGCTTTGTGAACCTTACCAGATCTTCTGTTGGACAGGCTAGTGTGCGGCAAGGCAGGGGCTTGTCCTTGCTATTAAAATAATTTCACAGGGGAAAATCGGCTTTTTGGTAAAGTTCCATTTGAGGTTTTTTGTTTCTAAAATTACATTGATGGAGATAGTGGGTCTTATCATTTCAGGGCCTCCAAAGGGCCTCCGGATTAGGTTTTGATGCTGAGTTCCTTAGGGCAACGAGGAGTTATTAAAGCACTAACAACAGGGTAGCGAAATGCCCCTTTGTCTGTCTCACCACTTTCCTAGGGACTTCCGTTCGTTCAGCGCAAATGAGCGGCTGTGGCTGCGGAGATGGAGTTCATCCACTTCCTGGTTGTCTGCTCAGCCTGCGGGAGAAGCAGTGAAAGAGTTGGGGACTTGGCTGCTCCCCGGGCTTGGCTCTCCAGTTCAGCCTTGGCTTGGGGTCCAGGGTCCCCCATCCAAGCTCCCGTCGCTGGGGAGGCCCAGGCAGGGCGAGGACAAACGCGGTGATCGTGAAGCTGGACCCTAGAGAGACAGGAAACTGCTTTCCCACCTGGAGCGACCACGACCTCAGTAGGGTTGCAAACCGCATCAGTCCTCTCCCAGTATCTTGTTTGTGCCCTGGACCCGATTGCTCCCTGGGGATTCCTCCCTCTGTGCGAAATCTGCAGGGACCTCCCGCGTCTGGGGACTCCCGGGGCGGTGTACTGTCCCCGCCGGGCGCGCAGCACAGAGCGCCCGGTGCAGCGAGAGCGCTCCCAGCACCCATTCCCGCTCCGGGTTCCCCACCGCGGCCCTTTTCCTAGGTTGCAGACTCTCCCTCCCCCCACCCGCACCTCCTCCCGCCCCCCCCCCCCCCCCGCCCCGCGCCCCGTTCTGACAGTTGAGCGCACTTCCAGCGGGAAAACCTAAGAATGAGGTCGGGCAGTTCCCAAGGTCCCCCTCCACAGCCCACCTCCGAGCACGCTAGGGACAGTCTGTGCGGAGCGAGCGAAGGCCACAGCGAGGCAGTTTCTCGCCGTTACTTTAAAACAGAGTGTCTGTTTTCTGTGTTGGGATGTTAAGGAAAAACAAACAGGTAAAATAAGATACCAGTAGTCAGGACTCAGTAGGTTAAATGCCGTTTCTATTTATCCCGTCTTCCTTGCATCTCTGCAATCTGCCTGCCTTTCTCTTTTTATGATTTTCTTTGTTTTATCACACAGGGAGTACGCAAATGCATTTTCATTGTAAGAGTCTGAAACAAGGCAGGAGCTTACAAAGCAAAATGTGAACACCTTATCGCAACTCCCTTCCCCCATTCCACTTCCCTCCTCCCCGGTAAAACCACTGCCTGTCGTTTGGTATGTAACATTCACTCCTATTCCATGCATTTACACGTATGTGAAAGTACACATTTGGATATGCACAAATAGAAGCTTATTGCATATATGCACACACATACCTGTACACATAACTTGTTCAGTTTTATGTCATGGAGACCATAGGGTAAGTGTTCTTCGGATTGTCATTTTCATGTACTAATATGTCTTAAGGAGCTGTAAACGACAGAACATGCAGGTCTTTTATGCCATAGCTCTATCTCTTTCTGATAGCTGCAAATTCCAAACTGTGGACTTCTCAGTTCTCATAGGTTATTTAACCTCCCATTATTGACATTTCTGGTGTTACTTTTTTTTAAACTTTTTATTTCTTTCTTTTTTGTTATTACAGACAGGAATCAATAATTATTGTACTAGTTATTTACTGCTGCCTAACACAATACTCCAAAACATAGTGGCTTAAAAGTATCATAAATATTTGTAATCTCTCATATTTTTGGCCAGTCAGGAATTTAGAGCTTCTTGGGTGGGTGGTTTCCGGCTCAGTGTTTTGCATGGGATTGCAGTCCAGATGTTGCCTGGGGCTTCAGTCAACTGACTAGGCCTGGAAGATCTGTTTACTCTCAGGGCTGGTAAGTGGATGTGAGCTGTTGGTGGGAGCCCTTAGTTTTTCCCACATGTGGGTCTCTCCACAAGGCTAATTGAGTGTCCTCACAACATGGTGGCTGTTTCCATTGTAGCCAGTCATTCCAGAGAGGAAAGTAGAAGCATAGGGCCTTTTATGACCAGCCTCTGAAATCACACGTTGTCACCTTGGCCACATTCTAGTCATTAGGAGTAAGTTAGTAACTGTAGCCCTTTTGTGAAGGGAAGGGTATCAAATAATTTGTGAACATATTTTAAAACCTCTAGTATTAATCTTATATATAATCTCTGTGTAGTTGTGTGACTGTTTCCTTAGAATATATTTCTAGAACTGGAATTGCTGGGTCTAGTGTTATATGCACTTTTAACGTTGACAATTGTTTGTGTTAGAAACTGGTCATCGTCTCCCTAATATCCGTTTTCTCTTTTCTTCCTTTTAGCAACAAATCTCCTGAGATTCAGGTGGGTATGAGTTGACAATATATTTTCCACCTCCCTTGCTGCTACGTGGGACATGTAACTAAGTTATGGCCAATGGGAAGTATTGTGTACAATTTCTGAATCAGGTCCTTAAAATAAGCTGTTTGCTGTACTTCCGCTTTCCCCATGGAGAAATCTATTCAGAGAACAGATGTGGTGGTGGGAGTCAGCTTCCACCAGGCAATGCAAGTAACACCGTTGGGGATGGTGGTACAATGTATATAGGAAGAACCTGGGTCCCTGCATAACCTTGTGGAGCTGAGCCAGCCTTCTTCCCCGGACTTTCTACTAGCTTAGACTTTTGTATGATGAAAAAAATAAAGCTTTTATCTTGTTTCATCCACTGTTACTCATTGGTGATTTGCCTCCTAGAAAGCCTCCCCAACAATGTATGAGTATCCATTTCCCCCATCCTTGCCCATACTAGATATTATCAATATTCAAAAAGTTATCATTCTGATGCCCCCCCCGACTTATGACTTTATAATCTCCTTAATGCGCTACTGTACCAAATGCTAGGGGCAGGGTGAAAGATATTGACTAAATTCAAGAAAAAAACCTACCACAATCTGTATTAATAGAAAACACAAAGATACAATGTTGCTTTCAGAAGTACTCATACATTTTTCCGCAAAAGGCTCTGCAGGGATGCTGTGCCTTCCCTCAAAGGCATTACAGCCTAACTGGGAAGAGGTATCTGGAAATAGACAACTAGCAGTACAGACCGGAGCAGTCTGGCTGCCCAATTCCTGGTGCTGACCCAGGAAGATTGAGGGGGGAGCCGTGATGGAGGACATTTAGCCTCACAAAGTCAGTGGTTTATGACTTTTGTATACTATTCAGGTGAGAAGCAGGGAGAAGGGAGTGGACTATCTGGGAGAAAGTTGTGGCAAATGCTATGGAGTGAGACTGTTCATGTCCCATCCCTGCCACTTCACTCTGTTGGCCCATACTTACGGAGTGCCTTCTGCAAGCAAGGTATTGTTGGTGAGGCTTGCAGAAGGGGCGTCCTATGAGAAGCTCTGCTGTATCTGGAGCTTCCTTTCAGAGGGCTGAGACAGATGACGATGGGCTGGGCTTCCGTTCCCTCATGTGGAGAATGATGAGAACACCAGCCCGGAACTCCAGGGCTGTTGGGAAGATGGAATGGAATAGTACGTGTAATGGGTTGCCTTCACAGTGCCTGGACGGAACAATTGCTCTTAAAGGTAGGTGTTATAATTAAGAAAAGCCATGAAGGAGAAAGTCCCCAGAGCCCCCAAAGTTTCTTTCTGTGCTTTCACTGGTGACTCCCATAAACTTAGTTTTAATGCTGCCTGATACAGTGTGGATCTTTGTCCCTCCAAATCTCATGTTGGAGTATGATCCCAGGGTTGGAAGCGGGACCTGGTGGGAAGTGTTAGGTAGGGGGATGGATCCCTCATGAATGGCTTGGTGCCCTCCTTGTGGTGATGAGTGTGTTTTTGCTCTATTAGGGTGAGATCTGATTGTTTAAAAGATCCTGGCACCTATTCCTCTCTGTCTTGCTCTCTCTCAGGCCATGTGACCTGCCTGTTCCCCCTTTGCCTTCTGCCATGAGTAAAAGCTTCCTGAGGCCTCACCAGAAATTGAGCAGATGCCAGTGCCATGCTTATCCAGCCTGCAGAACCATGAACTAAATAAACCTCTTTTCTTTATAAATAACCCAGTCTCAGGTATTCCTTTGAGGAATGGAAAATGAACTAATACCACTGCCCCCACAGAAAAACTCCCGCTTTCATAAAAGATATCAATTCTTTCTCACTGAGGTGAAAATAATAGATGTAGTCTGACGCACTACTTCTGCTGCATTTAACCTTTAGTGGAGAACATGCCATGTGTTTGGTTAAATCATAGGGATGAAAGTCTAATTATGAAATTTCAGGCATCAGCAAACCTAAATCAAGGGCATTTGGGCCAATTGAGGGTGCTTCACTGACGCTGCTGAAATCAACGTTTTTAGGGAGCTGGCCCAGTCTTCTCTCGCCTTTTCTCTCTTCCAGCCCCTTCTTATCTCTTCTTTTCTGTTTCTGCTCCCCTGACTCCCCTTTCTTTCTCTCCCTTCCCCTCTCTTTCCTCCTCTCCTCTGTTCCTCTCTGTCTTTCCCTTGCCTAAATGGCTGAGTCCCTGATGATTCAGTGATTACGCTTCCATAGGCAGGTGTGTGTCTTGTTTAGTCACATTAAAAATAAATCACTTGGCCACGCACAGTCGATGCATCAGTCTGTTACTTTCCTCTGCTTTCCAGGAACAGATTGCTCAAAAAAACCAAACGACTCTTGGGTGAAATGCGAGAAAGTGGGGAAAGGAGTGAGATGAAGGGAACAAGCCATTCCAAACTCACCCTTCAGCCTTCCCACCCCATCAGAAAGGAAATCAGTCACGCCCACAATCCTGCCAATAACACAATATAGTGGCTGCATTCTTTGGACCAATGACAGTGAGCTGTGGAAGAAATCTAGTTTGGAGAAGAGACGTGGGGGCTTGTGTTTACTCAACATCTACTATGCAACAGGCCTTGTGCATCTGTTCTCTTCTGAAGGGGAATCAGGATCCTGGTTGAGGGACCCTGGACTATTTCACCTTTCAGGATCTCAGTTTCTTTAGACCAAAAACATTTATTCCTATTCTTAAAAAAAAATTTTTTTTTGGCAGAGATGGGGTCTTGCTATGCTTCCCAGGCTGGTCTCAAACTCCTGGGCTCAAGTGATCCTCCCACCTTGGCCTCCCAAAATGCTGGATTATAGGCATGAGCCACTGCCCTAATTCACAGTCTAATAATTCCTTTTGGCATCAGGGACAAGTCCTGGGGTTATTCAGGCCTAGGTCCACCATTTTGGGTAAATTGCTTATCACCTCTGAGCCTCAGTTTCTTCATCTCTAAAATGTGTGTGTGTGTGTGTGTGTGTATGTGTGTGTGTGTGTGTGTGTTCTTATTCTTGATGAAAACAGTCTGAGGAAGAGACAGCTGAGGTTTTTTGTAGTAATCTTGGCACTAATGAAAACCAGACCCTGGCCTCCATAAATGCTATTGGGCATTCGGTCAGGGGGTAGCAAGCATCCCAAGATGTCCCCTAGTGAATCAGACCTCCCCTAGCGAATCACACCACCCTGGTGTGATCCCCTCCCACAGTGAATCTGAGCTGGCCTGTGACTGGCTTTAACCAATAAAGTGTGTTGAAAGTGACACTAAGCTGCTTGTGGTTTAAGTTTTAAAAATCCCCAAAGTTTATATTTTTGTGCTTTGGGGATCCTCAAGTCAATATGTAAGAAGTGTGGTCTCTGTGCTGGAGAAGGAGAGACCTTGAGAATATATAAATAAAGAAAGAGAGGGAGGCAGGGAGGCCCAGCTGTCCCAGCTTCACAACTGAGCCAGGCCTCCATCCACCCCTCAAGGCACCAGCCAAGTGAGTGACCTATCCTGAATACTTCAGACCAGGCTAGTCCCAGATGACTGTAGTCCTAGCTGCTATCATGTGCAACAGAAGAAGCACCCAGCTGATCCCATGAGAGATGATAGAATGGTTGGCTTAAGCCATTCACTTTTGGAAAGGTGTATTACAAAGCAACAGATTATTGAAAAAGCGCTCTCTCTATATATATACATATATCTGGAGTCTTGCTCTGTCACCCAGGCTGGAGTGCAGTGACCTGATCTCGGCTCACTGCAACCTCCACCTCCTGGGTTCAAGCAATTCTCCTGCCTTAGCCTCCAGAGCAGCTGGTCTCCTGCCTTACCCTCCAGAGCAGCTGGGACTGCAGGCATGTGCCAACACGACTGGCTAATTTTTTCTGTTTTTAGTAGAGACGGGGCTTCACCATATTGGCCAGGCTGGTCTCAAACTCCTGACCTCTCATCCACCCACCTTGGCTTTCCAAAGTGCTGGAATTACAGTAGTTTATCATCGCGCCCAGCCCAGCAATATTTTTGAGCTTTCACTATGTACCAAATCATGAGCTCTCATTAGGAGAGAGACAGTGGAACTGCTCGCCATTGCCTTCGGGAACTTAGTTTGAGCAAGAAGATTGTACAAAGGCAACTCTAAAGATTCTAGACATTTACTAATCCACACACAAGTGTGTGCTTGGAAGTGTGATATAAACAGACTGCTTAGTGATGGGATCATTGGGGTTGGGTTAGGGTTAGGAACACTCCTACAGGGAGAGAGTCTTGAGCTGGATTTTGAAGAAAAGGGCTGGTGACAGTTCAGAGAATGGCTGGGATTGGGAGTTGGGGGCATTGATAGCAACATAGCAATAAAATAGGAGCATGTGGAGTGGGAGTTGAGAAACTTAAATTCGATATCAGCTGGACATAAACATAATGGGTCTCAAAGGAGATCTTGCCGAGTCAGACTCTAGACCTGCAGCAGGGACCTCAGGAAAGCTGGTTATTTCACGGTCTTCATTCTGTTGGGTGAAAACGTAACTTGCAAATGGCAGCATAATCCCTTTATAAATGCCCCTGATTGTGGAGTCTCTGTGGGGGGGGGGGGGACTTCCTCTTCAGCACCCATTGGAGGGGGCTCAGAAAGATGTGTACAACCTGTTTATAGAGGACCCTTTTAGGTCTTCCCCAAGAACCTTATCACCCCATTGGACAGGGGTTATAAGAGCCCCTCTGTGTGGCTGACAAGGAGCAGAGACTTAAGCTAGGGAAGCATAGCCCAGACCAGAGCTCATTGGTTGGTAATGAGCAGGTTAACAGCTCACAACTGGGATGAATCGAGGCTGTAGCCATAGGGCAGGAATGACTCCAGGGTTTTCCCTGCTCTGCTTTTCCCCCGTCCTGTGTTTGGTGGGGCTTTGAAACTCTCCTGCCTGGGAAGATCTGGGTTGTGCTTGGATCCTCAGCTCAGGGAGTTAGGGCAAGGCCAGAAGGTGAGGACCTGTACTATGAAATGTGGACTCATAGGAAAACGAGCCATTCTGCCGGTCCCTTGAGGAATGTGGGTGCAAGTGCAAGCTGGAGGGGGCAAGGGGCAAGTGGTTCCAGCTCTGGGCAGAGAAAGACTGAGGGGTCAGGAAGCCAGGTGGCTCATTACAGCATCTTTCTTCAAATTTTAGGATGGTACCTTAGTTTGTGATTCTACCCAGTTTATGCCATTTATAATCTTAGTATACACTGTTATTATTTTTCACAGTCACTGAGTTAGGCATGTGTTCAGTTGTAAGGAACAGAACTCCCCGCTAACAGTCGCCTAAGTGATGTAGACCTTCCCTCAATCTACAAGGGATGATTGAATGGCCACTGCATACCAGGCACTGTTCTAGGAGCTGGAAACAGCAGAGAGAAAAGCAAACCTCTTGCCCTCATAGAGCAAGAAGGCAGCCTGGGTCAGGGCAGGGCCTGGTTACTGTCCTGAATGCCTGGGGCTTCTGCCCATGGGCACAGGAGACCTCAGGATGTCCAGGAATCTCAGTCAAGACAGGAAGCAGGAGAAGGAGGTGGCACCAGTCTCCCTTGTTCCTTTCGGCAGAAGAGCGAAAGCTTCCCCGGAATCCCCAGCAGATCCTCCCTTACCATCACTGGAGAACCAGGCCTGTGGCTACCTCAGAATCTTCATGGTTAATCTGGTCACTGTTTATCACCTGGGGCTGCCGAGAACAAGGGTTCAGTGTGCAAGGGAGAAGGAAGTTAGGCAGGTAGTCAGGGGGTCAGGCTGTCTCTGTGTTTGCAGGGGAGGCGGACACTAGAGAAGGTAAACATTCCACGGCAAATATGTCATTGCAAATAGTAAGGAAATCGTGAAATAATTGTAAAATGGCATTGAAACAATCCAAGATATGGCAGAAAGTCCTTATTGTGTGGTTACTGTTTCCTGCGGTCTTTCCAAGTAGGACATGTGAAGAAGGAAGGAAGGGTCCAGCCTCAGGGGCTTTCAGACTGGCAGGAGATGACACACATGCATCTGAAACAACCTGTACCCAGAGGAAGTGAAAAGCGATCTGGTGGCAACCGAATGCACAGTTCACAGCAGTCATTGTCATAGTCACTTTCCCTGCCTGTCCTGCCCACGCTCCTTCAGGGAACACGCCCTGCTCACAGCTGCTAAAGGTGTCGTCCCATGAGGTCCAGGCCCA